TTTTCTATTTTTCTTTTACTTTTTTCTTTCTTTCTTGCACTTTTAGCTTTTTTTTCATTTCTTTTTCTTTTTCCTTCCTTCCTTTATATTAGTTTGTATTAGTTTTTATCTTCTTTCTTAAACCTTTTAACAGAAGTGACGCTGAGGTTCTAGCTTAGCTCTTTCAGCAGAAGGAAAAGGCAAGCCACACGCATTCCTAAATACTTTTCTCATTAAACCATCATCCCTTCCAAGATCAGGGGCACCGATAAGGCCCTAGTCCACACTAATTAGGCAGCCCGCGCCTTAAATTGGGCTCCCTGCCGCCTCTACTTACTTTCAGCGGGAGAAGGTGCTCAGGCCACCGCAATTCAGCCACCGAGAGAGACATGACGTCCAGCTGTCGCTGCCAAAACTTTACTTCTCCCGCCCGCCGGGCTCGAAATTACCCGCGCGACCGGTCTTCCTGGGTCCTGCAGGAACGCGCGGCAGGGGAACATTTCCGGGACGATCGCTGAGGCTGTTGGGTATCGTAGTTTTTCCTTTCTTTTCCTTTCCTTGGAGTAGCTTTATTTTGGTACCCGGAGTGCTGCAAAGTGCTCCAGTCGATCTAATTGAAGGGTTATTTAGCGTATGCAAAAGTTATTTTTATTGCTGATCAACAGGGACAGGAGTTTGCAGCTCTCTGTAATGTTGAACTACAACTCCCAGTACCTCAGGCGGCGTGGCCAATGATGAGCGATGCAGGGAGTTGTAGTTCATCAATTCCTGCAAGTATCTCCACAACCTGCTGGTCTCCAGATGTCTTTTATGACAATTCTGACACGTCTAACCCACGTATAATCATTAGCTGTGCTGACTATAGCTGATGGCCGGTGAGGTTTGGCAACAGATATAATGATACATCATCTGTTCTGGCTTCTAGAGCTAATTTGCTCCTTCATGTAGAATGCTTTCTCATTCTGTACACAGTATTGTAGTGAGGTTCATGTGATGGAATGGAATTATGAAGGCCAGGCTCAGAGAGATAAACATTTTCTTAGCTCCC